AAAAAGGAACATGTATTATTTTAACATAATCTTTCAGACACTAGATTCAATGTTTTTTCACCTCTGCCATGATATAATATCATTTTTAAAGAAATAACTCAAACACAGTAGCATAAGATTTTTTTCATCTACTTACTTTATTCTTAGTTTATATTGTAACTTAATTGTGAATATTGACCAACTTATGATTGACCTTATAAAAAGGAGTCTTTGCATAATGCTTTATGATAACTATTTTGAAGTAATGAAGGTTTTCTTAAATGGGATACGTGGACTTTAAAAAATGTCTTGGATAACTATATTCTAATATTATTGATTTCCTTCTTAACCTTGTTAATTTTATTTCATACATCAAAAAGTATTATATTGATAAGGGATCTATGGGTTTCACAACTCTACAAAAGATGTCAATTAAAAATTTAAAAAAATGATAAACCTTTGACTTGTGGAAGAAAATGAGCTGTTATGACACTCCGATGCCAGTGAATTGTTTGGAGTTAATAATTAAGAGGTTTGAAAATTGTCCAGTGTTTCTTGAAATTAGGGACAAGTTGATCTGTAGGCTAATCTCATGACATTGGAGTTGAAATAGGTCAACAGAGGCTGTAGGGCCAGAATTATACATCATAACAAATCTAAGAGGGAAGTTCATACATGGGGCAGCATCACTCTAAACATTTATTACTTTTTTTTTACTATGTGGGTGCTCAAAATATAAGGAGGAAAAAAAAAAGAGACTCTTCCCCGAAAAAAAAAAAACATATAATATTGGAAGGATTTAAGAAGAGATATATACAGGAAAGTAAATAGAGGTTAATTTCGGGAGATAGAGAATGCTAACACCTGAGATTATCAGGAAATGGTTCCCATAGGCAGTGGGCAAATGAATTGAGCCTTGAAGGAATATAAAGATCTCCAGTGACAGAAGAGAGGAGAAATTAATTAGTTTCAACTGATCAACATTTAGGTAACTATTTGTTATGCACTTAACATATGTAGGCTCACAGGCACTCTGCTAGGAGATAGGAATACAAAACAAAAAAAATGAAATATGTTCTTGCTTTAAGGAGCGACTATTATATTGGAACTGATAATATGCATATCTAGAGGTATAATGCATGCTCTGAAGTTAATATCCCAACTTCCATTGGTACTGATGAATTGGGTCCCCAGAGCATGGCTACTATTTTCCTCCAGAGCTCTATAACTAAGCCTAAGCAGGGATGGGTAGGTAAGGGGGATATGTAAGTGGTGTCTTTTCTAATTTTATAGCTCATGAGCCCCCACAGATGTGTATCGTGTTATTACTGTCGGTGGATTATCAAGTCAGTCAAGAACCTTAAGAAGCTTTTATTTACTGAAAAGCAACTGTAAGAATAATTCATACAAAATCCCCTCCCCCCTCAAAAAAAAAGTCTTTAACACAAAGTCACATAACTACCTAGAAAGTAAGGGTAATACAGGCTTTAACTTAGACAGTACATGTGACAAAAGGGACATTCACAGCTCTTGCTTGCTTGAAGTCCTTTGTCTCCCTTAAGGAGGTGCTTGAGAAATTCTCTTTACTTTTGATGTAGCTTCTGTACTGGCCTCCTTGTGGAGGATTTCCACGTGGCATACAACTGCTGATATCCCAGGGAATAAGGCTAGGACAGGGAAGGGAAATCCAACATCTCTGAGGTGCTAAAAGACTGGATAGTCATAAGAACTTTGAATCTGAACTAGCTTAATATTTTATAGCTGACCCCCAGGAAGTGATGAGGTTTTCTCAACCAACTTTTCCAATGCAACATCATTCTAATTTAACTAACAGTTCATCAGATTGATCAAGATTTTTTTTGTTTTTTGTTTTGTTTTGTTTTTTAAACACTTAAGGAAAATGACTTTGGTTTATTTGAATCAATCATGGCAATTTCCTGTCTGGTTACATTATTAATACATATCACTTCATTATTTACTTTTCCTGGGGTAGGGTAATATAATTAATTTACTCAATTGGCCCCACTCATATATTAATGTATACAAAATAAGTATAACTATATATATATGTACATATATACATGTATATATACAAAATTAATGCAAATTAATAGGTCTAAGGAGAGCCTTCAGCAGCTAAGGGAATCAGTAAAAGTCTCATATCATAGGTAGTACTTGAGCTGAACCTTGAAGGAAACTAGAGAATTAAGCAGTAGAGATCAGAAGGAAGTTCATTTTAGTCATGGGTGACAGCTTGTTCGAAGGCATAGACATGAGATGTGAACATTCATGTGAGATAAAAGAAGAAGACCAGGTGGGTTGGACTGTGGAGTGAATTAAAGGAAACAAATTGTAATGACTAGATTGGTAGGTTGGAATCAGGTTGTGAATAACTTTAATTGCCAAACAGAGGAGTTTGCATTAGATCCTAGATGTAATAGAGAACTTTCTAGGGTTTATTAAATTGGGGGAGGGGGTGACCTAGTCAGACCTGTGCTTTAGGAGGATGGATTAGAAAGGGCAAGCACTTGAAGCAGGTATAACAATAGAAGGCTACTACAATAGTTCAGTCATTGGGGTATCCTGTGTGAAATCATGAAGAGGGGTTATGATATGCTAAATTCAGAGAATAGCTAAAAGAGCAATTTGATTGGTGCAAAGGTTTTGTGAATTGGAGAAATTTGAAATGTCAAGGGATTCTTGTTAGAGTCAGATTATAGCTTTACATAAGACTTTAAGGAGTTAATATTTTATCCTCAAGGTAAGAGGATCCCACTAAATATATTTGAGCAGGGGAAGGATTTGATCAGATTTATGTCTTAGTAATAAATAATATTTTGGCATTGTGGAAGTTACATTGGAAAGGAGACCAAATGCAAGGAGGCCAATAAAAGAAAGTTACTAGAATAGTATAAAGAAAGAGGTTTTAAGAGCCAGAATTCAGATAGTGACCACAAAAAGAGAAAGGATAAAATGTGGAAATTTTCTGGGAGGAAAAGACAAAACTTGGCAGCTGATTGCACATGGTGGAAGAAGCAGATAATGATAAAGTTTAAAACCTCAGTGATTCAAAAGATAGGTACACCCAGAAAAGAAATTGGCAAGTATGAAAGAGAGATAATCCAAAGGGGAAGATAGTAATTTCTTTTTAATACAAAATTGTTAGATATGCTAATGAGATGTTCTAGTAGAGATGTACAACAAAAAGCTGAATTAAGATTGGGATTCAGGATAGAACTGAATATAGAGATTTAGGAATCATTTGAGTAGAGTTGATAATTGTGATCTTATGATATAACCAAGAGGGAGAGAAGTCCTAAGACATGCCTGAAAATGGAGACTATTGGCAAATTCTTTGGCTTTGAGAATTGTGTGATAAATCTGAGGAAAAAGATGGGCAAAGAATATTCAGATTCATTGAAGAAAAACTATGAGGTTTTAGTGACTCAAGTGTTGAAGGAAGTATAATTAAAGAATCTCAATTGGAAAGAACTTAGACATTATCTTGTTCAACATACACCTGTGTAAGATTTTTCTCCACATCATCTCTAACAAGACATTATCCAGCTTCTGTTGTAAACCTTCAATGAGGGTGAACATATTACCTCTTTACATAACCCAATTTCACTTTTATATTTTTCAATATTTTTTAAGGAATTTTAAATATACATTGAACCTTAGTCTGCTCTCTGAAATGTATATTAATTGTTCTGTTTTCCAGGACCAGGTAGAATAAATCTAGTTCCTCTACCACATTAGAGCACCCTTAAAAATTGAAGACAACTATAATTATGTCCCTTTCTCCAAGTCTTCTTTTATAAAAAATAATGTTCAGGTGCAGCTAAGTGGTGCAGTGGATACAGCACCGCCCCTGGAGTCAGGAGGACCTGACTTCAAATCTGGCCTCAGACACATGATACTTACTAGCTGTGTGACCGTAGGTAAGCCACTTAACCCTAATTGTTTCACCAAAAATAAATGAATGAATAAATAGATAAAATAATGTTGATACATTGTATATGTTCTTAATTTTTTAATTTTTTTCCCAAAAAAAAAGCCATTGAAGTTTTTGTAGATGACCCTTCCAAAACTTGAGTCCAATAGCAAGATTTTCATTATGTCTTCATGGGAACTGGAAAAGAAAAAGAAAAAATAAAAAACCTTGAAGTCTGTCTTCTTTTATTGATGAGGAAAGGTTGATTGATTATTTCAAAAACTGAGAGAGATCAAGTAAGACAAGGGATAAGAAAATGTCATCAGATTTAGCAGTTAAGAGGCTTTCAGTAAACTTTAATCAAGCAGTTTCATTAGAATCTTAGGTGTAGAAGCCAGTTGCAAGTTTGTTGAAGAGTGGGATGTGAGAAAGTGATGAGTGAGAATGGTGATGACTCTCCCCAACCCCACAACCTAGGAGCTTGAAAACAAAAGGTAAAGGAAATATCTAGCATATATACTATTCATTCCCGGACTCTGTGATATTAACAGAAGTTTACTGCTTCTCTTAGTATTAATTCCTATAAATATATATGTCATTTTGACATAGGAACGTTGATTTAAAAGTAGAAGTGATGGAGAAACCATCAAGTGCAATTCCCATAATTTACAGATGAGGAGTCTAACATCCAGAGCTGTTAAATTACATGTCTAGGAAACAGCAAAACAGCAAGTATGGGGGGGGGGTGTCAGTTCTGTAATTTTATTTTTATACCTGGAAGAATTTTCAAATGACATCAACCTTATTCTGAACAGCATAACAGAGTACTATAGATATGTTTTAAAAAATGATTACCTTGAAGAAATTAATGTAGCTATTTCACAAAATTTTTAACATATACTTGCAGAGGACTACTAAAGAACATATTCTACTTTTAGGATGGTATGGGGTTGTGATTAAATTATATTGAAAGGTTCATTGAATGGTGATTCAAAAGCTTTTAATCTGGAGATGGCTATGTTTCTGTATGTCCAATAGGAAGAGAAGCAATAGTGTGCAACATTTCAGCATGAAGAGCCAAGAAAAATATTCCTTAAAATAGCAATCACAGAAGGTCCAAAGAACATTACGAGGAAACAAACAAAACCAAGTGCAGACAAACCAAGGGATCTGTTGTTGTCGGTACATGGTTCAAAAGACATGGACATCTGGACGTCAAGACCAGGTAGGAGCATGATGAGTGAGAATGAAATGTTTCCTAGTGTTGCTTCTGAATATGCAAAGTCGTGTTAGGGCAAACTGTTTTAGTATTTTACAGGGATAGCACCCTGATGTTCAAAGTTAAATATTGCAGGAAATGTCAAAGAAGAACAACAAAATTCACTAAAAATCTATAATTCTTTTCAACAAACATTTATTAATTTTGACTCCATGAACATGACTGTGTTAAGCATTTGAGATGAAAAAGCAAAAATAAAACAATTCCTGAACTATATTCCTAAGTACTAGGATTCATATTATAAGAACAATTTATATAATGTAGAGTTTTGAATATTTTTCAAATTTGGCCTCTGTGTGTGTGTGTGTGTGTGTGTGTGTGTGTGTGTAAAATTCAATATAATTAGATCTATATTTTGAACTGGATTTCAAAGGCCACCTACTTGAACCTTCTCATTTGCAAAATGATCTAGATAATTCAGCCTGAGTTAACTTCCACCTGAAATATCTGAATAATTAGTCAGATCATTTGCCCCAGTCAAACACTGAAGGAAAAACTTATTCACTGGCAGCTTTCAGCTCATTTCCCTATTTTGATCTATGCTATTCACTGAAGCTTAAAAAGTTTGTCCAGATAATTCAGTGGTATTTTTTCCATTTTCCAGAGCTAAGAATAGTTGCTTACAACCCCCATAAGATTGTATTTTAAAACATATGGCTTGCTCTATAAACTTCTTGGGAATATAATCTTAGGCAATAAATAAAGTCTGACAGGCCAATATTTATGAAGCTTGTGGAGGTTTCAGGGAGGAGTGTATAGTACTTTTGGGGAATATAAACTGTGTTTAAAGGTTGCAGTGAAATCTAACACTCAGGGGTACTTAAGTATGGAACACTAAGTAATCTTTCAAATAATCAAATGGTATCCTTTTGTATGTGTATTTAGAAAATGTAAAAATTAAATTCATCATATAGAAATTATTTAGTTGTCCCATGAACAGCAAAAGAACATAGACTGAGACTACAGTTATTATATAGAAAGGTATTTTTATTTAACAAAATTGAAATTGACAATGTATCCTAAGATCTATTGTAATATTTAGTAAGAAATTTGAAGATGTGTAATTTTCACTATTGAATTTTGACCACTTCAGGAAAAAACAAACAAATAAACAAATAATAACGACAAAGGAAGAAGAAAAAAGCTCAGCATAACGTAAGGATTAGCTTGTGGTAGTAATGGTACATTTTGAACTGGAAGCAATCTCAGAAAGTTGTAAGTACAACTCTCCCATGTTATATATGAAGAAACTGAGGCCCAAAGAGGTAACATAACTCGCTCATAGTAAGTAGTATAGATAAGTATCTGAGGAAGGATTCAAACCCATGTCTTCTTTCCTCTAAGTCTAGCATTCTACCCATAAGAAAACACTGCTTCATAGAAAGGTGGATAAAATATGTTTCAGGGCTCTATAGACATAGTAGGGAGTATGAGGATAATTTTATTCCTAGACAGAAATTCTAAACTTATTTGGATTAACTCATGCATAAAAGATGATGATCTAATGTAGTTAGAAAATATTGCATGGGAAGACTAAATATACTTATGATCCATTTTGAGCTTAAAATAAGCTAAAGCAAAATTCTTCTGCAATAGGCAATCCATGTGTTCATCAATAGGCAAGCCATGTGTAGAAATAACAACATGGATGCTAAGTAAATGATTCAATAGCTTATTAAAGTATACTTCTATCTGAGTTCACAGGTAAAGCAGGAGAACACAGATGGTTGCTTCCACATATACTGCTGCTGATCAGGAAATGTCACTGCATTTGTACCTCTTCCTTTCCTCTCTCCCCCCCTCCCCCCCAAAAAAAAAGATAGTTTATACTGAACTTCGTATGGAATTGTTTTCTATCCATCAGAAAAGACTAGCCAGTTGATCTGGAATTATATCTGGGGATTGTATGTTTCTTAAACATACATAGGAATGTGTCTGAATTTCAAAGACCCATTTTAGACTGGTTAAGCTTTAGATATGGAAATTAATTTAGAGATTATTAACTCCCTTATTGCACAAATGAAGAAACTGAGATCTATTGAATTAAGATACTCTCCTCCCCTATCACCACTACCACCACCACCAATAACTGCTAGTTGCCACCAATAGGCAGATAATGACAGGAACCCTGGAAGGGGCAGCACTCTTTAGACTAACTGTTATGCTTCCAACCCAGCCCTCACAGTCATCATTGGAAGAGATAACTCCTTTGGGGAATGACCCAGCTATTTTCACCAACTACCACCAAAAGGGGTAGGCCAGCCTGCTTTCTTGAAACTACATGGAACCTTGGAAGGAGTAACAGGAGTTAGCAGGTGCTGGCAGGTCAGGCAACCATAACCAGTTTTACCATCATCTCCCCTCAGACACCAATGTAGATAGCACAGGACCCTGAACTAGAGAGCCTTTGGAATAGCACTATTCCCATTCCAGTGTGCACTGTCATCATCGTGGGATGTAACTCCTTTGGAGATATAGTCTGGCAACTGCTTTTTGATTTACTTCACACAGATTTGAGGAAGATCAAAAAAAGAACTTTTATCACCAAAGTGAAATGGTTCAACATAAGAAACTGATACGATTTAATCAGTGAAAATGTCATTAAAGAAGAAATATCAACATCTGCTTTGTTGCTTCACTCTAAGGACCATGAGACGTTTTTATCTAACAGCTAAAACCTTCCATATGTGCTGTCTCTCCCATTAGAATGTGAACACCTTGATAGCAGGGACCATTTTACATTTCTGTTTCCATTCCCAGTGATTAGCACAGTGCTTTGAACATAATATAAGCTTAATATATGCTTCATTCATTCCCTTCTTCCACATAATTTTTTCTTGATTTAAGTATCTTCTTTTGGTATTTCAAACACCAACAAGTTATTCTACACACCACACACATGCACATACAACTATGCCATATACATATACATATATACACAGACATACATATGTGTGTATACATATATGTATATAATCACGCTACATGTATATATGTGTATATACATGTGTATATACACATATGTGCATGTGTACATGGGTTTCATGTATACATACATTTACCATTTATACTATCTGATATATAAATTAAATCATCATAAGTAAGTCTTTTTAAGGTACCTTAATGAAACAGTTGTCTGAATTTTAGAGCATTGTTCCCCAAGAAGACAATAGAAAAAAAAACAAAGGTCACTGCAATTTGCTTCTTCTAAAGTTGATAATTATAAGAACTAACCTTTTGACTTTAATCTCATTAAAAAAAGAATGCAAGATGTATGTTTTATAGAAGGGTATTTTGAGAAACTCAGCTAACATATTATTGTCTAGCCAAAAGAGAAAGGGCATTTGAAGTGATATGAAAGAAAAAGTAGAGAAAGAATAAATAGAAACATATAGAATAGTGTCTATACATGTTGTATACAAATACATAATGTATTTGTATTAGCATTTAATTTACATACGTTTTTGCATAAAAATCCAGTGCAATCTTTTTTTGTTTTTTTTTGGTCATTCTCACTAATCTATTCTACCCTTTCAATCCTTCTCAATTAAAAAGAGAGAAAAAAATGTAAAAAGTAAGCAAGGTCAAGCAAAACAAATCTACAACATGGCCATTTCCAAATGTATACTCCTTAGGCCTGAGCCCATCATTTTTTCAAGAGTTCTCTGAATCAAAGTAAAACTTTTGAGAATGGTTAGAAGGTCAATTTGGAATGATGCCTGGACAGGTGGACCATGTATATGTTTACTGTATTAGTGGCATACTTGAAATGCCACTGAGTGGAAATATAATTAGGAAAGAGAAGCAGAAGGTAAGTGGCTCCCATGGAGTGAAGTTCTTAAAAAAAATTCAGATGAAGAAAAAGAGAGAGGAAGACTGAGAGAAGGTACTCTGGAGATATAGTTGGCCTTTGATTTAGAGTTAAGTTTGTCAGTTGCATTTCTTTATAATGTTGTCATTGCATAAACTGCTCTCTTGGTTCTATTCTCTTCTCTTTTCTCTGAGTCAGGAAGGAAGGAAGAAAAGAAAGAAAGAAAAAGTAAGAAATACTATGCTAGCTATTTAGGTAAATCTAAATATGTATAGGGTTTTCAGGGAGGACTAGTACCTCTGGTATGAGGTCTCACTGAGCCCTTTTCAGGGCTTCTCATCCACTTTGGTGCTCAGCTTTCACCCAGCTCTCACCTGTGGCTGCAAGAAGCTGTAGAATGCACAGTGGTCACACCCCAGTAAAAACATCTCCACAGACAGGCAATATGTTGGTGAGTGAGCATGATGTCTACCTCAAGTTTGTGAAGAGGTCCCCCAACAGAATGGGCAGCTGAGAACAATTTGTTTTAATGGTCATGAAAATAGCTGAAATAGGAGCTAAGTAGTGCTTAGAGCTTGGTCAGTCGTCTAAAATGCTGATGTTATCCACTACATACCAGGCCATTACTAGTCAACTTGATTTTTGTTTTGCCATTAGACTCAAATGAGACAGCAAGGCTGACAATTTTGTGAAACTCTGCCTCAATTAAATCAAATTTGTACACAAGTCAAGACATCTCCCTGTGATGTCATCAGTTCTCTTCAAAAATGAAGGACAAACAACAAGTAAACTTTTATTAAAACAGTTTCAATAATTAAATATTTAATGTAGCCTTTGTGGTACAATTGAATTCAATCTCTCTTCCCATATTCAGTCATCTTAAATAGATGTGTGGTATTCTTATTCTTCATGACTGCAATTTTTCTTCTCTTTCTAGACTAGATAGACTTCTTTTTTTTTCTTTTTAATACACTCATTTTACTTTCACTACTTCAAAACTATTATAAAATTATCCATTGCTTTCAAATTCTGAAATAAAGGTTCATATTATATTTGTAAAAGTGCCTTCACTGACAATATCGATGATGATGAATTAATTGGGTTTCACACTATAACTGTTAGGTAGATTAAGGAC